AACTCCTCAGAATTCTACACTTGAAAGAATTTCAAAATTTGGAAATCTCTTAATTAAAAAAAAAAAAAAAAAAAAAAAAGATGACTACAATTTCAGTTACATCAGAGAGATCTCAGAAAGAAATGAAAGTGTGGTAAGCTCCTCAGATATTGCATCCTGGTGTAACTCAAAATCTGTTCCTCCTCCTGTGGGAAAAGCTGTGCCACAACAATGAGAAGTTCCCTATCTATTTAGAAACATTAGTTAGGATATTAACTATTCTTAAACTTTTTTTTTTTTTTTTTTTTTTTTTTGTATTCCTGTCCTTTAACCTGTATTCTTCATTTCCAAATATTTTCACAACTAAGAAATCGTGCTCCATATTCCTTCAAAACAAGACATACTTAGAACAGCGTGTGCTATACATAACTCTTCTGATCGTTTTATAAATGTTGGTATTATTTACATTATTTAGTGTAATGCATGATAGGGGTCTTAGCCTTCAGAGACACGTTAGTACGAATCAGCAGCTCAAAGCTATAGTTGAAGTGTCACTTCAGATGGCTTCTGCTCTTTGGTTCTCTGCAGGAGTCGGAGGCTTTGCTCTGACTGGCACTGCTCCTCATCCCAGAACAAGTGCCAAATTACAGCATCGTGCCACTTCATAGGCAACACAAGTGGTCAAGATATTAATTCATGGGAAAACACCAGTGGGCTTGAAACAAAATGCTCTGTATTTCAAAATTAACTTATCAAGGAGCCAATGGGAAAAAGAAAATGCTGGCTTTGCCCAAACTGTGTCTGTTCTTTATGTTTGCTTTTGGCCACCTGATTATGCAGGTTAGACAAGCAGTAGTATCTTGACTCATATGCATACAAGCAGTAGGATTTAATTTATGGACAAGGAAACCTGAAGAGAATTGCAGGTTCTGTGACCGGAACTGCTGAGAACAGATAGCTGTGTGGAAGGGCAGGGAATCACCCCACAGTGCACCCTGCACAAATCCTGCTTCCTGGGACACTCCCTTTCTAGGACTACTCACAGCAGGCAAATGGATGCATATGTGATTTTGAAAGTTTGGATCTTAAATTTACTCATCAGATCTCCCTACTGTCCCAAAAGTTGGGTTACAAGTTACATTCTTGATTCTGAGAGTAAAGTAAAATTGAACATGAATAAAAATACTGAACTACTGCCAGTCCAGTGATGTCTGGGGCTACCAAACAGCACAGAAGTGGTACTTGCAACGCAGGAGCAAAGAAGGATAAGATACCTGGTCACCTAAATGATGTATTGCAGACCATGGACAGTGTTAAGGAAAGAAGAAATACAAACTGCATGTGGGTCTGCACCTCGTGGTGCTAGGGAATATATTACTTTTTGAATTTCTTACTAAAAGCTATACTACAAACAGAGAATTTCCATGCCACTTACATATATCCTATACTTAATATACATTCTTCAGTCATCAGTAAAAAGCTCTTCATTATATCTATAAAATATAATAGTTCCTTTGTAGAAAACAAAACAAAACAAAACCCCAAACCCAACCAACCTGTAGGTTGTGCTGCTGTGATTTTAGTTTGTTTTTCATTTGGGAAAAGTTTAACAAGAACAGCTATATGGGACATCAGGAGACCACTCCCTTTTTATAGGAGTGCTGCCCAAAGAGGATGGAGCTAAATCTTTTCAAGCAAATAAGAGTAAGTATCCCATCAGTGCAGCCTCAGCATTTGGTACCTTTAGGAGTCACTGAAGACATTGCTATGGTAACAATGAATCAAAAGATTAGTTCCAATGGAAAACAAAATTACAAAAAGTTTAGGAATTTCCACTAGTTATCCTCTTCTCAAATATTACTAACGTGGTCAATTAATAAATTGAAGTAGTATTTTTCTTTTCTTTTTTTTTCTTTTTTTTATTTCTTTTTAGCAGTTTTTTTAGCAGTTCCAAAGATAAACAGCTTATATGAGTTTTACTATTAAGAGGAAAGCATCTTTATGCTGGAAAGCATACGCTGAGGATGGCTGTTTCCCCCTCACAGTAAGATTGAAATTATAATAGCTATGTAATTTTTATCTCGTAAATGAACTTTGCTACATAAAATACAAAAATTCAGTTTGATAATTGTGATTTGGAAGAGCTAAGAAACCTAAAACTTGAAAATTGAGCACCCTGGTTGTTTTCATGTGAATAGACATCAGAACAAAGGGATCATAATCTTACTGTCAACTTACAGTAATGATACAGTATAAAAGGAAAAAAAGTCTGCACCCTCTTATATTTTCAGCAAGATACAGAACTATGTTATACTTTACAGTATTTACTTTTTCCCAATCTCCTTGAAGATTTTAAATTCATGCCAAGATAAGAAATCATTCATATAAACTCACTGTTTTCCCAAGTGAAAAAAAGTTTCCAGGGAAACTACACTTCACTGAAAGGAAAAGTATATTTATATAACAAAAAAAAAAGATTTTATTCTGGGTCTGCTCCTTCAAGCTTTAATTTCATTTGCTGCAGCTAGTACTCTGACAGAGTTCTTCTTTGGTATTTATTCTCACAATTTCTTATAAGAGTTCAAGTAATGTCCATAAAGAGACTGATGGTAGCTGGGCATGAACTGGAAAGAGGAATCTGAACTTCTGTCCCTCCCTACAAGATAGACATAAATTATCTGTTTGAACATTTTGATTCAGGAGCAGGTACATGCTAGCACCTGCCATAGTCTCGTTGTTTTTATAAAACGTAAACAAGAAGCTTCAGAAGCTTTTGATGAATAATATTTGAATCAGCCACCTTTAAGTGGTGTTAAGCTAACTGCTTTTGGAGCCCAGTCAGTGATACTCAGCCCTTGTAAAAGGATGGACCTGGCACACCAAGCACCCATCTAACGAACCTCGCACCGTGTTCTAGATAGAGCTTTGCATACTGCAAATATACATCATTTTCATAAGCAGAATTAAGATAGCTCCATACGTCGGTGTAGTGGCCCCTACATCTTGCAATAGACTACTAAATGCTTGTGACACTCTATTGGATATAGAGTAGAAAAGATTTGAGATGTGATCCTCTGTTAGTATATCATTATTGCACTGAGAACATCAGCTGAGAGCCTGGCAGGTGACTAGATGCCAAAAGCATGTTGAAGAGGTCTTTCTTGGTATGTTTGTTCATTGAAGCGTCATCCTTCAAGAATTAATGTTCAGCTTTGGATAGTGGATGAATTGAAGTTTTTTAGTGGTTAACACTGTGCCCATACTCACCCACATTTCCTGCTTCAAATATTGGGATCATTCTACTGCTTTTTGGGGTTTGGGCTGAAATTCTATTCAGAAACAAAATGAAAAAAACCCCACAAAAACAAAAGGGATATGCATTGCTCTCCCAATTCTGCTCCACAACATTACACTGAAGAGATGCAGTGTTTCTCCTTTCAGTTCAGACAAAGTTCAGCTTCATTTAACTAGATGTTATCTCAGTTTACTTGAGCATAGTGCTCCGCGTGTGAACATTCACACTAGATAACACTCAACTTCATAGGTCTGGTGTTAATTTTAATTACGTTACAGGTAAATGACAGAGTTCAGAGCCTCTTTTAAGGAGAGTACAGGCCCTTTCCAAGGGCAGGAATAGATGCCATTTTAGGAAGAAATTATGTTTTCGCACTGACACATCCCTTCTGATCCACTGAGTTCAATGGGATCGTTAGATTCAGAAACAAAGCAAAATTTGGCCTACCATTTCAGCTGGCTCAGTGCAACTTTATGGAATCTTTTGTGTCCTCTACATACCTAATTGCGAGACCTCAGAGAAAATGTTGTCCCATTCACTGTAAAATAGGAGGTAAAGTAATTGTCCACGGGGTAAAGTAATTGCATTAGAGAAACACACAAATCACTTTAAGTTCACCTGTTTCAATGTTTGAAAATCATTTTCTTTTCCTCTGTAAACAATGAGTTTCAATAGGATCTGAAGTGTTAACTCTTAACAAATAATACACTAGTCTGTCATATGGTTAATATTAACGTCTCTCTATTCAAACATGCTGAAAACTGAATAGAACAGTTAACATATAACAGTCACACATCCTTTGCTGAATACAAGATCGCATCTCTAACATGAACTGAAGGTATCCTCACCATTTCAGATCTCCATCAACCATTCAGTCAAACATTTCATTGTATTAAAGTACATCGCTCTTGCCCTTTTTCTGGGTCTTTTGGGGGTGCTCAGTGAACACATTCTCTCATTAAAGGCATTGCTTATGATATAGTTCTTTCTTCAACAGAAATCCTGCAGTGTGTTTCCAATACATCGCCAGAAGAGAGTTTGCACAGTTTGGTAGGATTTGGGGGCAAGTAGGCCTTACAGCTGGATTGAAAAGAATTTGGTTTTGACAGAGCAGTTTGTGATAGATTTTGCATTTTACTGCAGAGATACCATTTCTCAATGAAACTAATTAACAATCAATTAACAAATAATTGTGAGCATGCTTCACAAATTATTGAATCAGAGCTTTATGTAGAAGCCATTTCTTAAATTACAGGTGCGTTCACTTATGGGTAGATGCACGCTCACTTGGCTTATGTCCTGAGCTGGCAGGATACAAATGGTGTTAACAGACAAGTCTCACAACTAAGCTGATGCGAAGCTGAGCCGCACTTAACATACAGTTCATCTTCCAGAATTGGAGTGTGGGTTTTGTGCCATGCCAGCACAGGCAGCTCAGACCAGCGAGATTGTGCACAGCCACTACGTAGTGCAGAAACAAGGCATGGAGGGACCACTCCTTGTGGGGATCCCAGCCTACAGCTTCATCCTCCTGCTATGAGAAGAGCTCTACAGCTTTTTAGAAAGGAGTCTGAATGAGGCATGCTCCATCCCGGGCATAAAGCATAATTTGCCCTCAAATAGACTTCTATTGAAAACACACAGCAAAGATTACAGCCATAGAAAGTTCTGTAAACAAGACAATTTCATCATCTTAAAAAAAAAAAAGAGCCAAAACAAAACAACACACACACACACAAAAATAAATCAAAAAAACCCCAAAAAATTAAAAGAAAAAAGACAAGAAAACCAAAGTAAGACTTGATGAATAAAGATTTGTGAAGAGGATTTTTTTTAATGCCTCAGCTAGGCACAAAATAAATGACATACATTTTCAGCATTTTCTTTTTCAAATTTACTTGACAGAGGTTAAAATATTGCTTTATTCTGACTAAACATACAACAGCACTGTGTGACCGATTGTGCTATTTTGGGAAGTCTTGAGACTTGTGAACTGGAAAGTCTGGGGCACATCTAATAAATTTAACGATTAATTTGCTGCAAATAATATTTTAATACATTCTGTATATACGGTAAATTTTAAATCAATCTTCTGACATTATCAGGGAAGGCTATTTGGTAATTATTTATCATAGTTTATATTCTTTTTCCCCACAAATAAGCAGATATTTTAATAACAATGAAAACAGTAACATGGGAGCCACTGAACCCGAATCATTGCATTATTGGCATATTATGTTACAATTTATTGGGAGGAAGAGGGACTCAAAAGAAGGCAAATGCAAAAAAAAAAATAAATGCTTATAATATGATTGGGATACTCTAATCAGGAACTGACATTTCTTCTCTAAGGCCTTCTCTAAGGCAGCAGGGGTTGATTTGCTGGAACCATCTGCTCACGTATAGCCCCATCAGAATCAGCTGTGTGCATGCTCCCGGGTATGCCCATACTGAGCTATCTGCAGGGTTGGAGCTTTAAAGTTCACAAGCCAAAGCCATGATTCATTAAAGTGACCGGAGAACTGAGAGCGGGATCAAATTAGGGCAGTATGGACACGTACCAGCTGGCTTCAGATCGTGTTGGATCTCCCAGACTCATTTCTGAATAACCCATAATAAAAATAAGTTAAAAAAAATACACATACACTCAGAAGTGCTCCTTGAGAGCGTACAAATGCCTTCAAAGTTTAACAGTTTAGAAATGTTTAGGGATCGGTAAAGAACAGCAGAGTTTACATTCCCACTCTTAAAAACTAAACCAACCCAGAACCTGCAATAGCAGCGCGTGCTTCTGCACTTTGAGCTGCTGTTCTTCTTCTTCTTCCTCCAACCGAGAAGCTCTGATGGACAAAGCTCAGAAGATGGAGCAGCCACAGGGCCCCAATCCCTCTCCAGGCCTGGCCTGACCCAAAGCTCCTAAAAGTTTCCACTGAACTTCTCAAGCTGACTGACACACTCAAATAAGGTAGAGAGTCAAGCATCTGGCTCAATTAAGGATTTACGGTCATTCCACAGTTAGTGCCAAGAGTTAGATGTTTGTGTGTCTCCTCCCTCAGTATGAACCTAGAACTGAGAGCAGGGGGGACTGGGTCTGTGCTAGGGTTTTGGAACTTGCACCCCTGGCCAGCATTCGCTGCAGTGCTGCCCTGAAACCAAGAATGGTTCTTAGAACGGTCTTGGCCTATATTGAAAATAGGATGCATAGCCTAAGCCTTCTGACAGCCAAACAGGACAGTGTTAAAATACTCTAGAACTGAAACTGTATGTATAATCCTGCCTAGAAAGCACCTGATGTACGCCTTATCCCTCCCGGAACATTTCTTTCCTTTAAAAAAATATTTTGTTAAAAAACACTATGATATGAGGGCGATTGACTATTTGGTTTCTTCTAAGTAGATGCTCTTAAATTAATGCATATAAATAATCTGTATTTAATTTCCTCCTTTCCTGTTTAGCAAAGCATCGAATGCACAGATCTGTTATTCCCCCTCCTGCGACCCCCACACAAAGTCACTTGGTCAACGCTGAGTCTCTTTGTGTTTCACTTTTTAAGACAAATTGTGCCTCTCGATCCGCCTTGGCCACAGGGCTCATAGGCAGGAACGCGGTGTTCTCGCTCGCGCTGCTCTCCGCGTCTACGCTCGTCAGTTCGAAGTCCTCCGACCTCCTCGCATCAGTCAGAATCCGAATCTGCTCCTGCACAGTTTCTAGCAATATTTTCACTTCGTGTTGTTCTGCTATAAGACAATTACTGACAGGGGAACTCACATTGACAAGTTCAGCTGAATAGGAGTTTTTGCACCATTTGATGCCTGTTACTTCAGAAACATTTTGCATTTGCATGCAGGCTTCGTCCAAGCCCACAGATGGGATGATGGGAACTGAGTTGGCCCTTGAAGATGAGTATCCGACCAAGTCCTTCTGATCCATGTTATTAAAATAAGGGGTTGTCTCTCTTGAAGGCAGTTGCATATTTATTGAAGTATTCTGAGAAGTTTTTAAACCACTAGATGAATACCTGAAAGGAATAAGAAAGAATTTGTGTTGCACACTAAGCAGCCAGATAGGACCAGCGGAAGGAATGCTGTATGAGAGTCGGAGAGCTGTGCTGCAAGGATACATCGCTGCATCCTTGCAGCACAGCAAGTCATACTCGGAGCACTTAGTGCTAGTGTGGCCCTGGGGAAAACAGCAGGCTCTGGAGATATGGGTTTTATTGCCACTGCTTTTCCCTCTGTCCCATTTTCCCCACCAGTACATGAGAATAATAACAATAACAACTTTTTACATGCTTTCAGGAGTTGCACTGTACTGGATATAAGGAAGGCTTTTACAGTATGGATGGTGAAGCACTAGCACGGGTTGCCCAGATAGGATTGCCCAGATCAGGCTCTGAGCCAGCTGATGGAGCTGTAGGTGTCCCTGCTCACTGCAGGGGAGTTGGACTCGACAGCCCTTAAGGGTCTCCTTTCAACTCAAAAGACTCTTCAAATCTTTTATTTATTTATTTATTTTCCCCCCTTCCTATGAATCAAATTCAAAATCTCATTCTTTCATTTCTAACCGGAGAAATGAATTGATGCTGTCTTGAACATCAGAACTGTCAATATCAAATCATTATTCCAGGAAAACACTGAAGAAGAAGAGAAATTGAAACAAAATTATGGTCTTTAATTGCACGGAAACAATCATCTGTGCCCCCTTTCAAATATGCAGACTGTCTACGTGCACCGTCACTCTAACAAACGTCATTTTTTGTAATCATCCAATGCTGACATGATTTGGTTTCTCAGACCTCATCTGGAAATAATGTCATGTGCTTATGAAAATGTTATTCAGCTATTCTACAAGAAAAAACCTTTATCCTCCACTTACGTACATTATAGCATGATTTCATTTATTGTGAGGCAACCTCAGTGAATTTTTTATCAACATTTCCATTTTGATTCAAAGCCACATTCATTATATCCTTATCAGAAAATATTTTCACTGATATATTTAAAAACCAGAAATGGAAAATATACTAATTATAAAGGAAACAATGCTCAAGAAGATGTTGCCCATTCCAGAAGTATTACTAAAAATGCAGTATTTTTACTACTTGTGATTACCGAGAACCATAGGCATCACAACCCATGCTTCATCAATATTTTATGCATCATCAGCTTTATGTTCTTATCGCTATTTGATAGGGCAAGCCAATGAGAAAGCTAACAGGTTTTACTGTTGATCATGAAAAGCGATATCTACATCTGGTGCAGAGCAAATGTTTGAGGTCAGACAGGAAGGATATTTTCTGAAAGCTGCTTAAATCTACTGGACTTCCCCCCGGGGTACTCTATTTACACGTGCCTTGCTTCTCCAGACATTAACAGAAAGAGAACTTGGGAACAGCAATTAAAGTTTTCAAAACAGCCGCAGCCTGATAAAAGCATACAAAGCTAATTAAGTGGACAGATTTCGTTTGGCCCAATCCTCCTGGTGAGCTGTCAGACAGACAAAAGAGGAGGAAATAACTCTAGGCTCATTTCCAGGAGAGCGCTGCTGACTTGTAGTTAGCTCATCTATGGTGGCTGTGTTTGCCTAACTGCTTGATATGAACCTGCACACAGGCACACATGCAGCACTGTGCGTTGCTACACTGAAACTCTGCAGCAGCATCCCCAGAAGACCACAAAGCACAGCAGGGAGATCTGCAATAAGGAGGAGGCACTGTGAGCTCTGCTGCTATCTGATGGACTAAGATACTGCTTTGGGAAGTGGGACCCAGGGGAACAATAAAGCAAGTGGCTTTTAGGAATATGAAACAGCATTTCTTGCACAAGCTATACAGCTGCATTTACGCTTTACTCTGAAACAGGAAGGGTCGGCTTTTGGTTAATTACTTCTGTTCTGTGCTTAGACACGTTTATAGCCATCTACTGAGGGCCTTTCTTGAACAGTTTTTGAGAATCAGTATGAATGAAAAACTGATTAGCAAAATTATTCCAGACGGAGGACAACTGAAAAAAAAAATTAATAATAAAGGAAAACAAAAGAGTGCAGACCTGTTGTGCCCATTCTTGTTTCCTTTGCATTTGCTTATTATATAATTGTTCAAACGACTATAGCTGGAGGGATCTCATCAGCTGCATTATTCCCCTTTTTGGTAATTCAGGCCCTAAATATATTCTGGGTTGCACCCTGAAAACAAAGGGAGTGAATGTTTTTAATGAATTTCACATGCAATGGATGTATTATATGGATGATATATGAGCGAAACCAAGAAAAGATGGAATTATCCAATGAGTTTAGTGAGATAACAGTAACATTTGCCAATTCCATAAAAAGGATTCAATTATTCTTGGTATTTTGAAAACTAATTGGCAGTAACAATGGCAGTAACAATAACATGTAACTCAATGCCTGGCATATTTCCATAGCTGGGTTTTTTTTGTTTTTTTTGTTTTTAAAGTGCAGACAAACACAACGATTTTATGCCAGAAGTACATGTTTCTGCCCTCTGCTTACACAGCTTTCAGAGAAAGGCTGAGGTTGAATGAAAGCACATGTACCGTGTGTAACAGGGAATGTACTGAACTAGCAGGGATATGATTTCTGAGCCGCGTGAGAGCCGGCTTTTAGTTCACTACAAACAGATCCCTGCTTCTACTTTTGATGCCAAACTGTTGCTGGTTACAACAGAATGAGACTTCAGTCAATAAGCACCTCTAAGTGCAGAATAATAATAATTGTTTCCTGTAATTGTTTCCCAGAACTAAAATGTCCCTTAAGAAAGGTATTTGTATTATTTTCATCTGAAAAAACTATTTTGTCTGAATAAATTCAATTTTGCACGTACTTCAGAGTGCAGCTCTGCCCACTCTTCTACTGAAATCAAGCAAAAAAGCCCTTAAACATTCATAAATCTGCAACAGCAACCACCTGTTACACAGTTTTCAAGAGTCTGTGTCAATGAATGAAACTGAATGAAGCATACTTACGCTGTCCCTTAAACAGATATTAAAGCAAGACAGGCAGGGCTTATGACTTAAAATACAAAATGGGCTTAATTCAGTCTAGTGCAAAGAACTTTGCTATAAGCCCTATTGCTGTAGATGCTCACTGTAGGAGCTTGATGGCCAAGTCCATTAAGATGAATGAGAGTCTCTACAGTGACATTAGCAGGCTTCAGCTCACCCTTGGAAGCATGCATATCTACCTACGTGTTTACCTGAATATATGACATGCTGGGTATCTGCAAACATGTTTGCATCTGCATCTGCAGATATAAGGTACTGCCTCTAGCAGCTGATACCAAGCAATGCAAACAGCTGTCACTGACAGCGTGGGACCAAAGTGCTGTCCCCCTCATTGTGTGCATGCCCGTGACAACCCAAAATGCTCTGAGATGTGACTGCCATGGAGATATTTGTTTACTTTAAGCCCTTCGTTTCAGGAAGGTTTTTCTGCTACTCTGAGTAGCGGACTGATGAAACAGTCGTATTTGGCTCGAAGTCTACAAATGCCTGAATTGCAAATGTTGAGAGCTGGTGCTTTTCTGAAGCAGCAAAAGAACCCCAACTTCTCCAAGGACCTTCAAGTTGGGCTGATATCTACTGAGAGCACCAAAAATCTCAAAAAGATGGCAAGAGAAAGATTTGGGGAAAAAGGGTTCCTGGTTAGAAGGCTTCCACTTGAAGTAGAGTTAGTGCATTATCTTTGTATTTTGGTTCGGAGATCAGACGTGCACTTAAATTTTAGTTGCTATAGTTGTTATATTTTAGTTTAGTTACAGTACTTCATTACTGCATCCCTTGCAAAAAGCTTTGTTAGATTCTTTAAAGACTACATTTTCATAAAAATATACTATCCATCATCAAAACACTTCAACAAAACAAGATCAAAGAGTTGCTATGATTTTCATGCCTCGTGTTCACATGGTTGTAATTCCTTCTCATGGGGACTGGCTTAAGGATGTTGATATCACATCTGTGACACAGCTGCTGGTACTCCAACACAACAGCACTTGCCAATGTGTTTGCAGGCCTCTTTCTGAGGACATGTCCCACTGACAGAGGCAGAACGAAGCAAGTCCAGTGGTACAGACATGGATAGTACAGAAAATAAGGACGAGGTGCTTTAGGGACTGAGGCCAGAAGGGGTTGCAGCATGGTGAAAAAGAAATCAAACTTTTGCAGAATGTTAACAGGCCAGATACAGACCAGTACAAGACGATACTTGTAGTATCACATACTGATTTCCTCGAGGAGAGCAAATACAGCTAGCCACACAGCCTTGCTGTGCTTTCTACCTCGTTTCTCAAGATAAAGAGGCTGCAGCTTTCTTCCACACCTGTATTTCAAGGCACTGCCACGTGGCAGGGAAGCTGCATCCTGCCCGATACAAAACTTCCATTTTGTCACAACTTTCTTAAGGTTTACATCATCATAGGAATGAACGACAGTATACTGACTGTAAGAAATAACAAAAAGGTTCTACCCTAGAAAAAGCAAACTGCATCAACAAAAGAAGCATGAGACAAACCTGAGCCTTTGAACCAAGGCCTACAGAAAGCTGACTCTCTTCTGCTTTGTTCTCTCCTGTCCCAGGCAAACCCCGCTCTCAGTCTGCCTCCATTAAGTACTGTAGCCAGCTTCATTAAGCAGATTCAGCTACAAGAGACCTAGCAAGCAAAGTCACATTCCCTCCTGGGACGCCTGGCTGTGGACTGATGCATGCCTGCTTCAGTCTGTGCTAAGCTGGGACTCAGGCATCTTTAAATGAGACCAGAGCAACCCTACAGGTATTCCTCCTGGTGTTACACGTAGTGTGTTTGCAGCAATTCTGGGAAGCCTCTGGAAATCTATAGGGATATGTAAATACTATGCAAAACAATCCAGCAATTGCAACAGACTTCAAAGGCTGCTGTAGGTGCTTGGGAGCTCTCTGAAATTCAGACCTTATGTACAGCTGGAGGTGAATTAGAAGATGAAAAATATCAGGTTCTTTGTATGTGTTCAAAGACAAACTCACATGAACTGGGATGAACAGTTTTCCATCCACAGCAAACAAGCAATCTACAAAGATTGCATTAAAAAACATGAAAGCTGGACTTCTGAATTATTTCCTCTTATTTGTCCAGTGCTGACGGAAGAAAGAAGTGCTGTGCAAACATTACTTAGAATTACTTCTCCAAGCAGCGCTGGCCTACTGTGGATATTTCATTACTTACCCATGACAAGGTATTGTGTCCTGCTCTGTGATCCTGGACTCTTCTAGCTGTTGATATGCTGGTCCTGTAATCCCATTGAACCTACCCCGAGGTAAGGGAGGAGTCCTCCGAAAGGCATTTCTATGTAGCATCCCACTTTTCTGTCCTGGACTGCAGCATGAAGAGAGACTTCTAGAAACAACACACCAAGGGTACAGTAACAATTATCACTGCAAAAGGGTAAACTTCTGCAAAGTGAAGATTCAAAATTAATAATGCATGGATTACTGTTCCTATAAACTTTGCTGTGGCAGTCTACCATGTCAGCAGAAACTCTCTAAGGATATATACTGCTATAATCCACAGCTAGCTGCTGTTTATGCCATATCTAATAGATCACATCCCTTCTAAGAATAAAAATAATTGACTGGCATCTTAAATGTTTTCTTATCCTTGAGGAAGGATGCTTCTTTTATTCCTTGCTGTGCACCGTAATCCTGGTATAAGGAGATGGACCCTCCAAAAGCGGAAATAAACAGCAAAAGTCCATCAAATTGAGCTCAAAATCAGATCTTAAGTTTAAAAGCCCATTATATTGTCTATCAGCCCAGGAGTCCTCCTCGCTGGCAATACAAAATTAAATAGGAAAAAAAAAATATTAACGAAGCAGCTTACAAACTCTAGCTTGAAGAAACCACCTACGACACAAGTCTCCTCCATTTCTGACAAGACTTCCTTTTATATTACTTCTATTCTTTTTTTATATACATTGATTGCTTTCTCGTTTTACATACGTTGATACATAGAATTCTTTCTTTTTATGGTATGATAGAAAAATACTTTTGTAAACAACTTTTTTTGTAGTGTTTTGTAAAAACAGCTTCCTTTTTATTTAATGCAGGAATTAAAAGATATCTAGAATTCACACGGTATTTCTTCTACAAACCATAAATCCAGGTTTTGCTAACACAGAAATAAGGGAACACAAAATTATGTCAAAATATAACCCATTTATACTGCATGGCATGACTGGTTATTCATTTTCCAGCTACTCCTTATTTCTCTTAACATCTCCTGGGGCTCAGAAATGCATATGTATTATTTAATATTATGTCACATCCTTAATGAAGTTTTAGTATAGGTTTTGTGAATGCATTGTAAGAATTATTATCGTTGGTTAGGTGAATAATTAGAACTTCTGATATAATTCAGCTATGCAAATGAATTAACCTAAATTTACTTCATTTTTTATAACATGATTTAACAGCAACCCGCATTTTATGCTTAATGCGAACTTTACTTATAGTGGGGGCCACACCTACTCCCAAAGAAATTCTTGCTTGGATCAAATATCTTAGACAAATTCTCTTGGGGAACACATTTTGTTAAAACCTACCCTCTCTCTCCAAACACAAAATAGTAGAAAGAAATCCAACAATCTCTACTCTACTGCTCACGTTCCTTTTTGGTATCTGTACTGTTCTCTTCCACACTTGCAAATGCCTGGTGCTTTTTAATTGAAAAGACAGATAACCCATAGCAATAGTACTCCCATAAAGATTTTTGATGCTCCCTTAAATAGATTTTCCTCAGCTATTAAGAAGACTGCAAAAAAACCCCCCCCAAAAACTGGGAACAAAAACAAGTTAGACTGAAGTTCTGGCCTTTCATTCTGGAGGGTCTAATTCAAGTTATGAGATACAGCTTGTGTTCTTTAAAATAGTGTTACCGTATCACAGAGAAAAGAATTTCCTGCTCAGGAAACTTGGATTATTAAATCAGGGAATCTTAAAGAGGTACGGCTGAATGAATAATTCACAAAGAATAATGCAATTTTTGGCTTTTTGTTATTACTGATTGCAGTACATTCATCAATGTACTAAACAAGTCAACAAACTGATTAACTTAACAAACTTCGCATTTATTGCAGATATGTGAAAGTAGAAAGGCAACGTTTAATAGTAGTTGCTCTGCTTGCAGCCCAGAAGGCCAATGGTATTCTGGGTTGTATCAACAGAGATGTGGCCAGCAGGGAGAGGGAGGTGCCTGTTCCCCTCCTCTCCTCTTCTTTGCCCTTGTGAGGCCCCATCTGGAGCACTGCATCCAGGTCACGGGTCCCCAGCACAGGAAAGATGCAGAGCTGGTGGAGCAGGTACAGAGGAGGGCAACAAGGATGCTCAGAGAGCTGGAGAACCTCTCCTACAAAGAAAGACTGAGGGAGCTGGGCTTGGTTAGCTTGCAGCTGCGTCCCTCACAGGCCTCTTGCTCTATTGCTTGCATCATGTGCTTCCCCCTCTGCAGACAACAGTGCCTTTCCAATTTCTCCAGGTAATTTTCCCTTCTTAAGCCACCATTATAGTTTCTTCCTTGCTCTGTTCGCCAGTCTAAGTGGGTAAAAGAGATAATCCATGTAACCAAGCTGTTCAATAAAGAGAACAATAAGAACAGCTGTAGCAAATGATGTCTCCAAAATCTATCAATTGATTATTCAAGAATAACCAAAACCAGAACAGGTTTGAAGTGTCTCACAAGTAATTCATGAACTAGGGAGAAGTGTAGTTCTGATGAATTTATGGTTTGAAATAAATAGCTCAAGAATCTCTAACGTTAATGAAGAACTTGGGATTCATCCTTGTAAACTGTTTTGTGTGAAAATTTTCTTTGGGTTGAGCAACTGAGTAAAAACAAAGACCGTCTCAGGAGGTGGAGTATTCCCTTCTCAAGGCACCTATCCAGCTCTGCACTGAGGTTAACTGTTCTTGGAGAGGAGACGACTTGCAGTGAATTTACAGTAACTCTAGAAATCATCCTGTACTATTTTTTCAGTTAATTGCTAAACAAAATTGATTGTACATTTCATTATGAACACATTCAAAAGTACCTTTGTTAATGGAAACATGAAAAGGACTAACAAGAGGAATATGATTAAAATGTTAAAACTTCAGATGTGAATTCCTTCTTGTTTAATGAGCACAATGGAACTATAAGCACAGTTGTGTGCATCACCACTTTATTTACTCTTTCCCTTTTTTTTTTTTCCCCTGCCTCTTCAGTCTCACTTTCCCTTCTGGTGATAGCACTACCACATTACTTTGATTTCCATCATCCTCTTCCTTGGTATCTCCTGCATTCCTTCCATCTGTACCTTCACATTTTCCCTATGTTCTCAACATGCCCCCTGCTGTCATGCTCTGAATTAGATATTCGAGAGAAAGATGCTAAAACATCAAATGTTCTTTTTCTTTTTTTTGAATTTTTGAATTTTTTTTTTTACTTCAACTTGAGTTTTGTACATCTTGTACTAAATGCAAGCTCATCTCTAGTATTATTAAGCTGCCTTCATCCACACACTTGCTGTTCCAATAGTTTCATTTAAAAAAAAAAAATCTCAAACTGGGATACATGACTGTAATTCATGAAGAGAAAAATATAAGGAGGAAGAAAAGGAAATTCTAGAAATTGCTGTAAATACTCTGGCTCTGTACCTACAAAAACTATACAGAGCGGCATATTACATTACCTATAATATTACCTACTGATAACAAGACGCAAACTGTGCTGGTTAAAGCTGAAAGCCATACTGCTTGTCCTTGCTAGACAAGGAATAATAAATATATACCCCAATAACAGAGATAGCTGTCAGATAAACACTGTCTTCTGAAGCTCCCTGGGAAACACATTTTTAGGCAACCTTCTGCTAACATGTGTTCAGATGAACTATTCAGACTTTCAACCAATTTTCAGTTGTAATAAAAAGGATCTGTTAAACTTGGGAACATAAGCATCTCCCAATAAATGCCATAGGAAGGCACAGTACTGTATCACAGAGTCCTTTTGTCAGGCTGCTAATAAGAACGAGATTACGCAAAAAGCACAAGCCTCTATTGGCATCCTTGTTTTACAGGGTCACTCAAAGGAGAGAGCTAACGTCATCTTTGGGACTTCAGCAAAGCTGCATGAGATTAAAGTCATACTAAGACCGTAAGGAGTGTGTTATGCTAAAAAATGGTGGCATAAGCTGAGAATTTCAGTAGTGTTTTATTTGATTTGTTTCAATCCCCCTAGCTTCCTACATTCCAGACATCGCTTTTTTCTCCTTGCCTTAGCAAAAACCAACACCAAAGATTACGTAGGAGAACAACCAACCCAAAAGGGCACAACGACCTGTGTTTTCCAGCTTGTGTTTATAAATGGTTGGAGCTGGTCATATCCTCAGTTCAGGTGATGTATTGAGACCTCCTTGGAGGCTTATTTTTTTCTTGTCACATGAAGGAGCAGCTCTCCGGCTGCTAGTTCCCATGTGCAAGCCTAACTTCTTGAGTCCTTTGGTAGAACTCTATTCTTGAGTTCTTTAGTAGAAAAGCTGTTATTTATGTACTCAGGAATAGTATTTGCTGGAGCTTTGTAATTCTGCACAATTATTATGTGTAGTCTGGAGTCACTAACCCTGGTCTATCAGCTAGGTACATACAACAGGAAAAAAGAACTGAGATGTCAAAGGTGCCTGAGTGGCAGAGAGTTCAGCCAGCCACTATGACCTCATTCTACCCTTTCTGTACAGCATGGATCAGCCTCTGTCCTAAAATGTCTACTCCAGAAAGTTGTTCTACATTGAAAACTCAAGAGTTCAAATTCGTTATGATGAGTAGACATCTATTTGTATCACCATTGTACTGTCATATTTGTTCATTTTAAGCAGGTCTTCTAATTCTCCTTATCTTTTCTCTGATGTGTTTATAAACAGCTGTCAGTCTTCATTTACTGCACTAAATGAGACAAACTAATCCTTTCCATGGAACACAGATGATTCATCCCTTATTGTATTAGCGCATCAATGCAATTTGAGCCCATATTAACCAGGAGGCCATTTTACCCACAGAAGAAAATACTGGTGATTCCTCACGCTACATTCACACGCAATGAAACAAGATCTCATGAAGTCATTTTAAAACTTCTGACTTTCTGATGGCAATGTCTTCACTAATGCTTCCTGTAATCATACTTTTCTTTTGCATGTTTGCATCACTTTGCAACTTGGTTACTCTTTCACCAAGTGGTGTGTGCTGAACTTTTTGTTCCTCATTTGTTTTTCAGCTCGTGGGAGAAACTTTTGTTATTAGTTCTCAAATGACTGGACTTGCGTTTAGTACTGCTGAATTCTGAACCATGTTACTCCACTCCTCAAGGTTACCTGATTCATTTTTTACCTCGCATCTAGAGCAGTATCTGTGCTTACCCTATCTTTGAAGTAATTTCTTCAGCATGTTCCCACTCAAGGACGTTGACTTCTGCATTTCACTTCTACTTTGACTGTTGTAATGTCTATTTTCATACACTTTGTTCCATCCCTGTTCTGCCTTCATCCCCAAACAATCATCCTTAATGAAAAATAAAATAGATTCATCCAGGATTTCCCTACTTGCTTCATATATTCACTCTGTCCCTCCGTCAGTTTTGCTTCTTTGGGTACAGTACTCTTATTACCCAGCAAGAACACTTGATTTTGCTATCACCAGTAATCCTTAACTCTCAACGCTTTCTGAAAATGTTCACTTCAAGAATGACCTCTTGTTCCCTGTGATTCAGTTTGTTTCTTTTCCTCCACTTTATCCCTTTAAGCCATTTCTTTCAAGTAAACTTCTCCAGAAGAGTATGTTCTTTCCTTGGGAAAATAACAGATTCTTTATACCTTCTCCTTTTTCCAAGACTTCCTCTTAGCTGTGTTACTTAATCAATATCTGATTTCTAAAATTCAATTAATTTTCTTTGCAGAAAAACTTAGATTTACTCTTTCATTCAATTTAAACTGAATCAATTATACCGAGAGCATCAAGATCAAAATGCTAAGTCAAAAAAAAATTGTTTTTACCTATTTCTTTTTAATGGAGTTTAAAAATGCAACTGCAAATTATTTTAAAGTTTAGAGTAAGTTTATCCTGTTTTTGCACTTTTGCAAGGCAATACAATTGGTTCGTGCTTCCAGCCTCTTTGGCTTTCATCACAGCATTCTCTGAAATGAATCCCACTGAAATCAAAGATGAATGAATCAAAGACAAAGTCAGCATGTCTAACTACCAAGAAAACTGCACTGCAAAGGGATCACACATCAGTCAAATAGCTAACAAAATCATAATTTGTTACTGCGTGTACCAAGATAATAAGGGCTTTCTTTCTTAAACAACAGATAATCCGAGAAGAATTTTTGAGCATACTGTAAACTTTACAATAAGTATACTCATGAAACACACTTGTTATTTTCCAGTTATAACTAAGGATTATTTTACACGTGGGAACAAAAGATATTCAATACTTCTACAATAATAACAGCGAGTAATACAGAGGAAATATTTTAGGAGTAAGACTCGGTGGTGATTCAAATCTTTCATCTTTATACCAATTCTTTGCATTCAGCTGAGGTTGGTAGAGTGAGAAAACTTATTATCCAGTAATCTTAGTGAAATAACTAGGCGATCTCTTCTCTGTCAGACAAATTTCGGCAAGTCAGAATGATTTCCTACTCCGATAGCCCTAAAGCCAGGACAAATTTCTTTCGTTTTTTGAAACTGTTGAGCAGACAGCTACTGATTCGACAAAATAATCGCCACCCATTAATGCCCTTGAAAATGCAAATAGTTGTGGAACAAAATATTTCCATAGCGAACAGAAAAAGAATAGACAGTTTAACAATTGCATAAAATGAGACGCTGCAGAGCTGCTCTAATATTTCCAGGTCCATGTCATGTTTTCAAGACAAGACACCACTCTGTTTTGTCTAACTGTTCATTTTAGGGAGACCAAGAACTTGAGCTAGGACCACTTTATATCTGCATCACTGCACCTCAATGTAATGGAATGAGGGGATGTTTAGAGCAAAATGCATCCTTGTTTAAAAAAAAAAAAAGAAAGAACAAGCTTCATTTTTCTGATCTATATTTGATATACAGAAAGAAGGGCTAATTGTACCTAGACTGTGATTAATTAGATGGACATTACAAAAAGACACCAAATGAAACGGAGAAAAAAACTTCATACTGCACAGCTTTTAGAAACTACAGAAACTGAGTAACTTAGGAAGCTGTCACAGGACACATAAATCAAAGACAGTCTTATAAGTCACTGGCATATTAAAGTCTGTTGCATTTCTTAATAAAGCGAGGCCCTTGTATAATAAATCTTAAGTTATAAAACTACGAAAAAGAATTTGTTATAAATCAAGCTGTCTTAAAACAGTTCTGAGGCAAAGACTGTTAATGCAGCCCACTGCTTGATACCTGGAAATAAGCAAATGAAGTTTTTTGTCCCCTTTGTAAAGAGAGGTTTTGGTGCATGAACGTGTTGAAGTGAGTGCTTTGGAATTCTGCATTCATTTAGTAAAACTTCAGTGTGGCTTATTCTGTAACGTCCCTATGGAAGACAAGGAGTTTAGTGTCATTCAGTTGTTGTTTTAAGAACCCCTTGTAAACAAGAAATATTCAGCCCTTATTTAAACATTTTAAAGCTTAATAACGTAAAAATTCAGCACCTAAACCATTTCAAATCGGGCTGTTGCCATCATGTTATCGAGGGCAAGTGAATGTCACCGTATTTTTTCTAAGCTTCACCTTTTGATTAAATTGGGATTAAAATATCCACAGAGCTTCAAGCGGGAATCATTTTGGGCAACATAGTTCATCTACACTTAGTAAAATTATTATGCACATATTGAAAATCTGCACAGAACAAGGAATAAACCCAAAGAAAAGCATCCAACGTGATACTTGGCATTACTTTTTCATTCCAAATTAATGGTTTAAGATTAATGTAAGTAGGATTCAAATATCCCTTCCTGGTTTATATGGCACACTGTTCTTGGTTTAGCCAATCTTCCAAACGAAAGAGAAGGAACGTGACTGGGGGACTCCAACAAATGTCCTATTGGCTTTACACAAAACACCACAGAAGTTAAGCTATCACCTCATGCAATCCTCTGCTAGCACACTACAGTCCTCCATATCTCCCAGCATTCTTGCCCAATCCTCCTACCCATGTGTCACCCCCTAGCAGCATCCCTCAGCTTCCACCACCCCTTCTTCCCCAGATGGCCGTTTGCTCACCTGTGCTGCTTGATGGGCTGAGTTCCTCTGTCAGGAGACAAAGCCTCTGGGAAAGACTGAGGACCTGAAAAGCTGGACTCCATGACTTTGTCCAGAGCGGGCCCAGGGTGCCTATCTGTTTTGGAGTACTGTGGCACAGAGAATAAAATTAATTAATACATAAAATGCAAGATACATTGCTCATGTTATTCAGTGAGAACTGAAATTGATAAGAAGTGCTTTAATTTAAAGATTAAAATCAGGAAGGGCAAGGAATGCATCCATTCACTGCCGTTTACACAAGTCAAGAGCACCAAGGTTGTTGTCCCCATTACTTTCTGCACATCAGAAACCAAATGTCCACATTGGCAACAAAATTACTGACTGATCTGCCCAAAACAAAAGGGAACGCGGTCCCTTTTGAATAAAAACCTGCTTTTGTGACTGCCCATGCAGTGCCTGAGATCACAAAACACATCTCAGCACCTTTTTGTGTCCTTTGGTGATTTCAGTCAAACACTCCCTTCATCAAAATGCATAACTAGGAAAACCACACTGAATAGCTTTTATATCATCAGATAAGTAAGAAAAACATTTGAATACTATCTGTAAAGCCAGACAACCCTTCTGCACCTGAAACTTCTGACCTGGGAGTATCTGTGTTAGTAATATCAGTGTAAACATAATTCTTCTCGTGACAGTTGTGTGTGCAGGGCAACCTCTGGGCACACAGCGTGACACAAAGGTCTGTAAAGCAGACACCAGATGTGAACAGGAATGGATTTTCCTCTTTTTGCTTTGTGATTCATCTCAAAATTCAGCAAAACCCCCGGCTCTGATTCTGAATAGAGGCCAGAAGACAAAGCTTAAGAAGGGTGCGTTTTGGTTTGAAAGAAGAATCAAAGTTAGCAGCTATTGGACAGTACCTTAGAGGTGTGAGCAGTTAACCCACATTTCCACAAAATTAAGAAAAATAGCAGAAAAAAAAAAAAAAAGAATAGAAAGATAACATTCCTGATGCTATGCTGAGGTGAACTGCACTAAGCCCAATTGATGTATTTTTCTTCAATCCTTTTCCCTCTGCACTGAATTCGTACTTTTAGTACTAGGTAGCTAGGTTACCTTTACAGTAAGCTGGTACCGTGGGATCTATTACATGATTAAATATTTAAGGAAAAAAATACAATGTACGTGAATAAAATGCAGTGGTAAAATAAACGCCTTGCTATAATACAACAGCTTAATCATTTGTGAAGGAGACAGTAAGATTTCTGTCACGGTACATTCTTCCCCATAATTATTTTGTTGTCTAACAAAAGACCAGGTGAGAACTCCTAAAAAAGGAGGAGTTATTTTCTGATTCCCCCTTGTTACAACTATCTACATTTCCCAAGAGTTCAGCAAAACTAAAAAGGAAAGTCTGACAAGATTACTTTCTTCTAACTAGATTCAGAGCATGTTCACAGAATGTCTTGAACTACTTGTGACCAATTTTCTATTGATAAAAAAAAAATAACAGGAAAAAAAAACAGGAGTTCTAAGTTCTCTCTTCCCTCTCTTCCTGTTGTGTGAAATACCCACAGGAAGGGGCCAAAATCACTGCTTAAGGGCCTGTGAAAGCAAAGCTGTGAAAGCGGCAATATGCAAAATGTTACTGCACACAAAGCAAACACAACTGAAATAATAAGTAGAAACATATTCAACTCGTTTTTCTTCCAGTTACAATGATCTTAGCTGTCATTTGTCACTACTGTAGATGAAGCATTCAGATGGAAGCATGTCTTTTAAGGCGCTCATGTTTGTGACAGTTTTAAACTTTAATGGTTCTTCTGCCAGCTGCAGCAATGACACTGATTTCTGACCTGAATAAATCAATTTGAGCTACAGGAAGAATGAGTTGTAAGCATTAGGAAGGTATTTCTGTCCTTTTTCCTGTTTGTGATATTAAATTGAAGATCCAAATGGCTTTAAAGGACCACGAGCATGAAGTGAATCACAGAGGTTAAGTAGGGATGAGCTATGCCTCTCGCCATGTCTATGGTTGAAGTGAACATGGGCTGGGGGGGATCACAAACAAGAGCATTTTTGCTCACCACTGCTGAAAAAAAACAGGGTTCCCCCATGAGCTGCCCCCTGCAATACCAAATATTTAGTACCCAGGCTCAGGTTGGTTGGTTCTTCTTAATCAAACATGGATTAATCTTAATCAAACAGGGATCTGTTGGAGAGGGTCCAGAGGGGAAATGGTTCACAGAGAGAGCGGTGAGGTACTGGAACAGGCTGCCCAGAGAGGCTGTGGATGCCCTGTCCCTGGAAGTGTTCAAGGCCAGATTGGATGGGGCCCTGGGCAGCCTGGTCTAGCATTAAATGGGGAGGAGGTTGGTGGCCCTCCATGTGGCAGGGGGGTTGGAGATTCGTGATCCTTGAGGTCCCTTCCATCCCTGGCCCTTCTGTGATTCTGTATTTCATGACATTTCCAGATCCATCGCTCACTAATTATCACAGCAGCAACGTCAATTACACTGATATATCACAATTTCAACTGCTAGTGCAAATATACAGAGAATTTGAACAATCAACAGAACCTATTTTATTTAGATGTAGCACATCATTCAAAGAATTAAACACAGTTGGGTTTACTCTTTTCTAGCTTAACCATAAATACCACATCCCTTCCCTGAGACAGTCTTTGGAGGAAAAAATCAGAATCCTGGGAAAAGTTTACAGCAGCATCAAGCACAGCTCCCAGAGTGGGATGGGGGACTGCCACCTAGCTGTGCCCCAGTGGAACCAGCTCCACTGCCCCCAGCTGTCACCCAAGCTGCAACCTATAGCCCTCTGCTAGCTGTGAGCTTCCAAACACTAAGCCACTGCAGGGGCTAAGCTGTGAAGCACTGTCAGAGTACTGCACTATTCTGAGAAGTTGAAAGCAGCCCCAAAATCTTATCTGTATCTGGTTTCTGTTTTTTGAATGGTTTTATTGTCTTTTTGGTTAATTCTGTGTGCTTGTTTGAGCTGATGTACAAGAAATGTTTATGTATAGTTGATGTATATGGCTAAATAAAGAATAATGAAGGCATTTAAAAATAAAGCGTTGTGCAAATTTTCATTTCTTCATGGTTTCAGAGAGAAAATCATCTGTTATGTGCAATTACTCCAACTCTTTGACAATAAAACCTCACCCCCTACTAGTTAATGCTAAATGAATCTGCAAGAAGTCACCCTCTGCCACTGACCAGCTCAATCACTGCAAGTATTTCCCTGCCCAATGCTTTGGATTATTCTCTTAAATTTAGGATCCACAGGTGACAAATGCCTCATACGTACCATAGAATAGCCAGACACTGTTGTCCTATGGTTAAGCAAAACAAATCAAACCCCTCCAGCTCTTTCTCCTTGATGGATATCTCTCAGATAGTAACAAAAAAATAAAGTTCAGATTTGTGTCTGCATTGGAAGAGAGGTGATACGGGGTTGCCATTTCAAAAAGGACTGGGAAGGCAGAGAATATCAGATTTGCATTACATTCAAAGAGGTGAAGAAATAATGCCACTTCTGGAAGGGCTGGCCAGCCCCACCAGCCTATCAGCTGGAATACTGAGCATCCTTACAGCTACTCTCTGCGCTCTGCTGCCAGCACTCTAGATAGAGGCCAGCAAGCTCAAGTTTCTCTATTATGGCAGTTCTTCCAAAGTTGCAACAAGTTACCTAACTGCAAAATCTGCTCCTGATCTTAGCTGATAAACCACATCACAACTCAGGTAAAAACAAATGCTCACCTTTGACAAGAGCTAAATGCCTCTGTCTGGTATTCAACATATATTAATTGCATTTCTATCACAGAGATTAGGTTTATTTAGTATATGGTATCAACAAGCATCAACAAGTCACAAAAAGAAATTTTGTCCTCTTGTTATAATATCAGAAATCAGAAGCTTGTGATTGCAAGCTGTTAGAAACAAGCGTAGTGAGAAGTGAAACCACACACTACAGCATGAAAAGCATATTAGGCACCTCAGAGGGATGTGACGGGGAATTCATAGATCCACTTAGTATCACAGGAGAAGGTATTAAATGCCAAAAGGATGAAAAAAGCTATTTTAAACAACCATGCCTACTGTCAGAATCACAAAAGGAACGGCAAGTCTTCTGCTGCTTTTGTTGCTGGTGTTCCAAAGCTAAGAGAATTTAAAGAAATTCTGTAATCAAGGTGTAGAAAGGAGGCAGTGAACACCAGGAGACACCAAGCCTGGTGATCTGCAGAGTAACAGAAGTGGAACTGGGACATGTCCTCCTACCTGTGGGTGGTGTGCAGGGTGCTGAGAGTGTTTGTCTAAGAGGGGCAGCTGAGCGTCCTGACTTGCAAGCGTATGATGACACGGAACCATTTGTGGACCACATTCATTAAATATCTCTCAAAGATTATGTAATCTCTTTGGGAAGACATAGGTAATACCAGGAAGTCCCAAGCTTCATGCACCTGGTAAAATAAATCTTAATCTCCTGTGTACCTCAAAGATGCCCCATTAAAAACCTGTACATAACCCTCTTCCTGACTGAAGACTTATTTTAATTTTATCAGTACGTTTGCATTCGTAAAGAAGAAAAACGGTGTACAGAAAATGCGTAACTACAAAAAGAACGTAGGAGACAGGAGCCTGAATTTTTGCCAAGCAAAATGTGGAAACAGTTATCCAAATTCAAGCTCCCCGACAACCCAGCAAGAAATTGCACGTTGCTGTCAAATTGTCTGGTAAAAGGAGTATCCTTGAAGGAAATTGCAGAGAAATACTAATAGACTAATAGCACCATTCAAACTGTTGTTTATGAATCCTGCTTACAGAATACCATATTGTTTATCTAATTTGTATCCTTTATTGTACGATGGAATCGATACTGAGAGCCCAGGTGAACACAATTACCAGCTCTGAGCAGTAGGAATTCACACAATCACAACTGAACTGAGAACGGAAGTGGAAGAGATGTAATAGACTCAAATGCAGGAGGGAAAGCATATGATGCTTCAAATTATTTCTGCTGTCGATACAAACAGAAAGCTTTATTCCCTGTAATATATCCAGTGGCAGGGAGACATCTACATTTTAGCTTAAACCTCTAAAACTCCTTGCATTCTTCCTCAACCCTGGTGCCAGCCAAGGAAAGTGAGTTTGCACACGCTCACGTTAAAGAGCCGTTGGTTAGCTTTGCAAAGAGCTAAATCTTTTCACGAGTTCAAGCTGGTTAGAATTGATAGAATAGCAAACCCAAACTCCTCAGACGCTTTCTACTTAATGCTTGCACTGAATTATTTGGGCAGTATCCCAATGCCAGCTGTTGGATATGAATGTGGTTGCAGTAGCTCTCTTCACTAAAAAGGACTAACTATGCTGCTAGAAGATGGCACGACCTGTACATGGTTCATGCTTGGCTGAGGCACGGCACTCAACCTGGAGCTTGGTTTAAGACCCTGACTGTATCAGCAAGCTTGTGCTCTGTTGCGTACCAGATGGGCCTATTCTTTCCCAACATTTTTATAGTACTGTCTGCTGGCATCATTCATTTAGGATCCTTTTTAGGGGGTCCAAAAATCTGAACAGTATGCTCCTAGTGCTTACCACAGCTCTCGAAGTACAGTTGCTGCAGACCTTTACCAATTCATATACTTGATATGTTCCTCAAAGGCTTTCTGGGAATGCTTTCAATAAAAGGATAATGAGAAGAAGCACAAAGCCACATCTACACCTCATTGTAGCAGAGACCACCTAACAGCTGTCACAAAGGCTTGACACTACACATGGTGCTTGACCTGTACTATGTCAAGACACGGTCACCACTCTTCTTCACCTGTTTTTATTGTATTGATCAGATAATGGGCAAAACAAAACAAAGGATGGCATCTCCTTAAAGTAAGGCAGTTCCAAAAAGCCTCTTTATTTTTTTTTTTATAGCCACCCACTTCAATTTTTTTTTTTTTTTTCCTGACTATTCTGTCGTTTGACTTGAAATAGCTAATCCAATTTCCTTAAAAACATAAAGAGCAACCCTTCCACCATACAGATGTTTAATGAACCTGGGGGAAGGTCCAGCACTTCAAATTCATTTTTCAAATACTGCCTTTTGAAATAAGGATTGCCAAACAAGGCAGCCCATATCTTAGGACAGAACAGGAGAAATGTTTTAAGATCAAACATTCGGAGCTTTTAGCACTGTGTATGGTTTTTACTGTAAAGAAGCTTAAATTGGCAAAGAGGTGAGGTATCACGGGGACAAAGGCCTGAAGTTTTTTTTTGCACTACTTTTCACAGAAATCTAAACACCTGCAAAAATAAAGAGTCAAACCAGAATAAAATATAAATTTGTAATACATTTTAATAATTTGTTCAAAAAACAAAATGTGGTAGGATTTTTTTTTTCCTTCTTTGAACAGCAATTCTGATGCATTTACATAGATTCTCTCATTTAAAGAGATTGAAAAATTGACTTTCAAACTAAGTAACAACAAATAATTCTTTCGGTGAAGTCCAGTGAAAAGCAAAAAAGGAAAGAAGAAATAATGAAGTGATAGCACTTCAGAGAGATTGAGTTTTTTAATGCCCCAAAACATTTGAAACACTCCTGCTACATGTAAAGCTTCTTTCTCGAGCAGTGCAATGTTTGGAAATATCTGTGCATCCATTAGTAAATGTAGCAACCTCCCTCTACATTAAAATGCAAGGGCTCTTTTGAAATAGACATTAGAATTATCATGAAGATTAATCATAAGATTCATAGAATGACCATCTAGTTCCAACCCCCTGCTGTGTGCAGGGTCACCAACCAGCAGACCAGGCTGCCCAGAGCCACATCCAGCCTGGCCTTGAATGCCTCCAGGGATGGGGCATCCACAGCCTCCTTGGGCAACCTGTGAACAGTGCCTCACCACCCTCTGGGTGAAAAACTTCCTCCTAATATCTAATGTAAACATCCCCTGGCTCAGTTTAAAACCATTCCCCCTTGTCCTATTACTATCCACCCTCGTAAACAGCCATTCTCCCTCCTGTTTCTATGCTCCCTTCAAGTATTAGAAGGCCACAAAGCGGTCTACCCAGAGCTCTCTCTTCTCCACACTAAGCAAGCCCAGTTTCCTCAACCTTTCTTCATAGGAAGAAAGGATAAGGAACAAAGAAAGGATAAGGAACGTTATGCAGCTGTTTTCAGGTATGAACTAATAGAGAAAATAGAAGGCAGGGTAAAAAAAATGATAGGATCACTCAGTCTATTATGAATAGGAAGTAGAAAAATAAGAGAGAACCTTTCAGGGAAAACAAGGAGGACACAACATAAGCAAGACAGATTACCCATGTAAGAGGAGCACATGGATTACGAAATATGAGGCTGCTAGGACTGCATAAAGCAAAACCCCTGAAAACAACATCCTTCATTTTCTTCAGTTTCTGTATTCGTCCCTGGTTTCTTCCCAAATCTGTGGGGTGCTGCAGATGGGAACCTCATAGAAATCACCTCCAGAGTGACTGCAGCACCTCCACAGAAGTGAGCCCTGGGAAGCTGCCCATCAGCACCTGGTCTCTGCCTCACCCTGCAGGTACACACAGGGCAGAACCCTGGGCCCTGATGGAGACACTCAGCCACTCCTAAACAATACCATTTTGAAGTCCTTTTCTGCTCTCTCGTCAATTCCTCCCCCTCCCCTGGTTTTCCTTTTCTCCAATCTGCCAAGATTTGTAAATATTTCATGAACTGCCTACTTGCATTCCTGCACTAAAATCTTTCTAACAATAGAAACCATTCTTGTCCTGCACAGTTACACTACATCCTGCGCAAGGTCATTCTGCATTTCTTTCTTAGTACTTTTGCTCCCAGAGGAAAAACGCACTAATAGCAAGGATATAACTGCTCCCTGCTAGTTGCTACAGGAACTAGAAAATGGTGTGTTAATTACCAGCACTGAGAGCTCTAGTTTGAACAGCATTAAAAGCTGAAAAAAATCTTGCCTAAAATAAAGAATAATCATGGCTTTAAATCTCTAATATTTAGAATCCACATACGGCTGCTCAGCCATTTTAGCTATTGCTATGGTAAAAGAAAATGACTTAAAGCTTGAGGATGTGTTCGTCAGATGCTGAGAGGACACCAGATAGTTCTTTGTGATGACAGGTCGAGAAAATATTGCACTGGATTACAGTGAAGAGAAAAAAAAGTGTTAACCACAACCCAGTTTGCATGTTAGAACAAAAGAAACACAAAAGCTCTTGGCAAATTTAACATTTGTTGTCACCATCACAAGGCAGCAGCACTCCTAACAGCTTGTTTTAAGGGCAAGAAGTAAAATAAGGCCAAATTAAATTAAATTTAAACAAGGAACTATGGAAGGCCTCCTAACCTGTCAGTGTCCATTTAGTGAAGCTACCTTCCCCTCTGATACAGTGAATTTTACCCGAATCACAAAACTTAACAACCATCACAACAGGGCTCCTAAAAAACAAAACCTCTGGTGAGCACAAGCAGCACTCTAACTCGTGCTCTTCTGTCACGGCACAGAAGCTCAGCTCACTCCAGACTGCTTAAAAGGGCTTTCATTTGATGTAAAACAGGAACAGAGGCATCTGTGGCTAAGAGGGCTTGAGATCTCACTTTTGCTTGACTCCCATTATTTTGATGGAATCTTGCAAACAGAGTAGTTATTGCTTGAAACAAAGCTAATGACACTTGGCTTGCTATTTCTTAACACTCACAGTTGAGATTTTCATTTGTTTCTAAGAATTAACTATTTAGAAAGGATTCGACACATCTTTCACTGTTTCCTGTTATACTCCAATTTTGGCCTTGCTAACAACATCATTTTCAGTTGTTTCAAAGCACCAAATGTGTATGAACGGGAGGAAGAAAACAGCATGCATTAGAAAATAATGTGCATCAAGGGCTAAATATATCAGTTGTCTTCCATTTCCTTTAAAATTAACTGCATATTTCATCATTGTGGGATTCCATTAATTCACATATGAGTATATTCAGAACGTGACTAAATATGTTTTCAAATTTAGTTTGAACAGATTGCTTTCTACTATCAGAAGTCCCTTTATTTAACTCAAGATCCAGGCAAACGAGACCATCTGAACTGCCTATCTTGGGCACTAGTTTATATGCCTAAGTTTAAGTCCAGATTCTGAATTTACTCTGAATTACCTGTGTCTCAGCTCTACATATTCTCCCCCAGATCCATTAACACGCTGTACTGAAAGATTCAAAATCATTCAAGATTGAAGTCCCTCACCTTCACCTATAAACCATACTTATGAGCTAAGGTACAGGGAAATGTCCAGATAGACACTTTCAGTGTTGAATACAGAACTAGGGGGCTCAGCATACTCTACTGCATGAGCAAAATGCCCCAGAGCCCATTGAAATAACTTTTCTTAAAAAAATCCCTGCTTGGTGTTTTCCATTAACTGTCCTGATAAAAAACACTTTATGAAAGATGAGAGAATTCTTGTTCCCATCGCTCAGATGCTAATAGCAACATGGTGATGTTCTGCCATAAGCGGCAGGAACGCAGCCAGGCTATTAAATGTTGTAGCTGGCAGGATTACTTACATTTTGCAGCTGGACTCGGCTTTGTGCCATACACTCTGACTTTGCCATCATGCTGGAAGCATTTAGGCTGTAGGTTTTCCTATTCTGCGTTTCTTTCAGCTGTTCATGAATTTGCTTTGTTTGTTTCCTGCAGAGAGAAATAAAATTCATGTAAGAGCGAGCTAGTTTCAACTCCCACTATAGCCACGATATTCATATAACTAGGGGTCCTTTTTTTCCAAACTTCACCACATTGGAATAACCAGCTGTGTTAATTCACCAGTGCCTTATATTTCAATGCAGTGGTCATTTTCTGGACAAGCTGAACAAAAGAAGAAAAGAGCTCTTCTCTCAAAAATGTCTTCTATTCTCAGATTACTACAATAGCATGCTGGCTGTTTTAGCACAGAAATTTGAAAGAAAGATTATCTATAACATATTTAACAATAGCTTGCAAGTAGGCCTGGATATTAAAAAAGCATTTTGCTCAGATTCGGAACAGAGATTTTGGCAAACACGGCAGGCATTTGTCTCTGTTTGTTATAAAATGTGTGACAGAACCAAGCATCTCTGCTAGCAGCTCATTAGACTTCACCTAGTATCTTGCATACATCAGCTTTTGCTTACATGCTTTAATCAGGAAAAAAGCATCAATAGTGCATCCGAGGCTATTTTTGACATATTACACTATGATCCACTGTGTCACAGCTGACAATGCCTCTAAGAGGAGTCATTTGCAATATTCAAGAGATAACTATATGATTAAAAGCAGCTTTCTCTTTCTGTCATATTACATTGACTGAGTTCTAAAGTTCTACACATTATTGTGGATTTCAGGCAGAAAACTCTATTTTAAGTAAGTATTTTATCCTCTGCCAGCAGATAAAGCTCAGTTAAGCAAATACAGTCAGCAGAATATATTTGAGGCCTCGAATCGGAGACTGTTCTTTTGGACAGATACACTGCTGGAGTTCTAAACGAGAAATAAGTCCCCAGTCCTAGTTTAATTCTTTCCTTCCTACCTTATTCTCCTCAGCAGATGCACCGCATGCAGCAATCCCAAAAAAACCCTGGAGCCCACCCAGCAAGGTCACTGATCAGCAGCCCTGCTTCGCTGTGCTATGCACAGCTCCTGTACAGCAGTTGGTGCTGAGCCAAATTTCAGCAGGCAGCGAGTGATTTTTAACATTACAACTGAGATTCTATAAGGTAATATACTGAGAAAAACAATTTAATAATTAGTTTCCCTTTAGCATTCACGCAACCTAACGCTGATGTTAGGTTTATGCATATTCATATTGCCAAAAAATAGGATGCAGGATTATAAAATGTGAAATTAATAATTCAAAGTTACTGCTTAATATATTTATTTCGTATTTTTAGTCTGCAAAACAAATGAGCCTTCCGTGTTTTACTTCATAGATATTCTGCAATAAAGTATTATCTTGGCAAGAAAATGAAGTCACTGGTCATCTATAAAATCCTAAGCCATAAAGAGAAGCCCATTGCTTTTTACTGTGGTCTCCCCTCTGCTGTTAACACTTAAGAGTAATTTCTTCACTACTCTGAAATGAAAAATTGGAAGGATATAGTGTTTAGTTATAAAGTTCTAACTTCCCCACAGAGAATATATTTTAAAAAAGGATTTTTAATACAATGGTGCATAGCAAATCACATACACCTAGCAGCAGGTATTAAGCAAACATCAGACTCAAGAAGTCAGGGTCTGCTTCTTCAGATAAACTTCCTTTTCGCTGCCAGACTCTGCACCATTCAGTTTCCCTAGATGTTAGTATTATTTGATAAATATTACTAGAAGTTAAACAAGAAGATCATCCCCCAGACAGTAGGAATGCTTGGATAACCTGCAAGGATGATAGAAATGCATCTGCATGATGAAGAGATCCTGAAAATCTGTTGTGTTAACACACATCACAGTTGATTCATTTTAACTTCACTGCTTCAGCCTTAACTTTGCTTTTATATCCTTGAGACACTGGCCAGTGTCACAGATACAATACTGTTTCATGCGGCCTCTATGCAACCCAGTTTAGGCACTCTTATAAGGGCCCGGAGCTTCACATGGGTGTTCAGATCAAGAGGGATGAACAAAATGTTTCCCTTAGTCTACAGTGACTTGGAATCACACTTTTAAAGGGAATGTCCCAGGCTGACCTGTACTGAGATAAGCCTGGTGTGCAACCATGGTCACCTGCTGAAGTTTGAGTCAAGGCATTCGCAGGGAAACAGCATGCAGACTGATAAATAGTTACTGACTCCTTCCAGGCTTTTGGGGGAATGGTGCTAATAACAAAAGGGGAAAAAAACCTCACGAGCAGTGAAAACATTTAAGAAATCAATTTGAAAGGCAAGAGAAATTGCACTGTTACTTAACTTCTATAGCTTCTGTCACCTCCAGCTATTTCTACATAGCCACAGCACTCCCACCTCCTGCCTTAGATTGGGCAAACTCTACTATCTCACCTGCCTGGTTGTCATGGATTCGGTTATCTAGACAACCTAACAGGCATACTAACTCTCCATAAAGCTAGGGGCAAAGCAGTGAAAAGACTTAATTCTTTGGACAGTTTGCAAGACGGGACCACAGTCAGGGACTTAGGGATTAGTATGCTAAAACTGCTGTGCTTCCTATGTTTGAAAGCATCTCTTGACAGAACTGAAGGTGCTCATTTTCTCAATACTCCCCAAATTTCAGATTCCGGAATCTGGCATAAGTACACTTCAACTCTTCGCAGTAACTCTTAACTTCAGTTAAAACCAATAATAAAATAGAAACCTGAGATAGGAACCACTACAGTCCTGTGAGCGCAACTTTGATGCGTTATTTCTACTCATTAATTTTAAAAATAGCTGCCCCACCACAGAATCTCCTTGGTTTATGTTCCTGTCAGACTCTAGCTCGAAAGAACAGTTAAATGGAATCCCTCAAGTCATTAGAACAGGTAAGGGAGGTTAGAAAAAAAAAAAATGAATCAGCTGAAGTCTTCACTCAAATCACGTGTGTAGTAGTGCTGAAATTTGTGGAGAACGGGGAAAAAATAAGAAGGTCTGGTGACTTCTCCAGCGTGCATTTCTCCTTTCCCTGAGAGAAATGTCAAAACATTATTTTTTTCCTAAAGAAAGTAGTTTCCATCAGATTTCCTTCCCATTAAAATAAATTTATAGTCTTGTGTGTGTTTATTCAGATAAGCATCCAAACTTCTAAGTAGTAGAAACCTCCACATTCCTGATACTCAGCCACCATGGCTAACCTCACGTAGGTACTATTTATATTGATGCAAGTTCTCTCATTAGCTCCACTTTGAACAGCAATGAGGGATGATGGCCATACCAAACATATTTATAAGTTTAGTGGTATTAACAAGCATGTCACGTAATTGCCATGAGTTTTGTGCAAGGCAAATTACATACACAGCAATAAATAATAATGTCCAGTGGGAGAGATAAAGAAAAATAAAATGGAAAATATTTTGCTTGAAAAAAGTTTAGTACAGACCATTTCACCTTAGTTGTGTAGTTCCACATTCTTGTACACTAGAAATACTTAGTTATGCAGCTTACACCATCAACTTATAACTCTCAGCTAATGGCTGCAGTTATCCGCAAGGAACTTGACAGTTCATACACTGCTAACTTTCGCCTTTATTCCCAGTATACAGAAAAAAGAGGGACATAAAGGAAAACAAAATTCAGAAAGAAAATTTAAAAAAGGTATCATAAACCTTTTATTTTGAAAATAAGTGATTAATGCCAATTATTGTCTGGAGAAAGGAACAGAAGGGACACAATCTCTTCTTCACTGGTATTGGAAAACAAAAAGGACACGTAATACTTCTGCTTAGGTGGTGGTTGTTTTGTGTGTATGGTTTTTTGTTTTGTTTTTTTTTCACTTAGATTCTAGCATAGAGAACTGTTCTAACCTGCCTGGAAATAACAACAGCTTCAAACAGAAGGGAGAAATTCAAGAATTGGAAAGCTGTAAAAAGGACAGAAGCTAAAAAACAAACACACTAGACAAAGGCTCTTACTTTGTTTTGAAGTAGAACGCTGCACAAAGCATGCCCACTACGACTATGCCAAAGACGATACAGGAAATAGACAGCACCTGGCGCTGGTAAATTTCTTCGCTCTCTGTGAACAGCAAAATTGAGAATTATGAAGGCATCACAAAACAGTATTTGTAAAAAGTGGATTTCTGTACAACATGCTTTCACTAGTGATGAACAAATATGTGAGATTTTGGAGGTCTGAGTTGCCCAATTCCTTAACAGAGTGGATGCTTCTCTGAAGGTCTCATCTCATAGAGCTATGGTCTCCTAGGCAAGTTTTACAAAACGGCTGCCAAACACATTCAAAGATACATAAGCATAAAAATCTGGGAAGTTTAACATTTTCTCTACCCTACATGCCCTCTTCCCGCTTTTTAGAAGATCATGCTTCCACTGTCAATAGAATAAAGAGCCCTACAAACATGGAGCTTAACCGGCTTAAGGCAAGATCCATCAGAGCTCTCCCAAAGTCCCACAAGACTCAGGAGTTCATTTTTAGCTACCAGAAAAATGTCAGCTTTTTTTTTCTTTTCTTTTCTTTTTTTTTTTTCCAGCATGCTTATTCTTATGTAAAATGTAAGTCAGCGAAAAAATTAATTTAACCAACTTTGGATTCCAAAGACTACCATGCCTCAATGCATCATGGAGATCTGTAGTTTTCTTAAGTAATATCGTTAATAAATCTCATCAACTACCAATTGATTTCAAAACAGGAACAGAATGAATTTAAAAAAAAAAAAAAAAGAAGAAGAAAAAAGCTAAGAAAACAAAAGAAAACTCTCATTCATGACAGCAGACCAAAGCTGACAGGCAAATGAAGTTTCACACACTGAATTTATCAAGAGCTCCTTAAATATTCTATTATATTTTTATTAATTCTACCACTTCTATAGTACAAACTGTTATAAGACTGTTGTTTTAGGGTCAATTTTCCAGAACATGTAGCACGTAAAATACTCTTTTCATTCATGAATTTGAGGTAGAAAACCATCACAAAGGATTATCAAAGCACAAAACAAGCTCAGTACATTGGTAAAGCTACATCTCCTTTCCAGGTCAGAGATCTTCAGCGCGGAACCTCTGTAAACATGGATCCCAGATTCATGTGTTAAGTGGATTTACAGAAATGCCACATTCTAGGTGTGTAAGGCTTGGGGTTCATTAGAAGAAAAAAAGTATGACAACAACAAGATTAAACTGGGCAAATATTGGAAAAATCATAATTTAACTGGAACTTCAGTTAAATACTACATTGCTTTATTACAACGACTAAATACTACATACGGTGTCCTAATCAGTACTGATTATTTATTACCAAAGCGAAAAAATACACGGACTAGTCCAGTGCCATTACTAAACATTTGGATTTTTGAAGAGCCATTTGTCTCTAGCAGAAGTCCAATTTCCCTATCATGAGCTGCTTCAAATAAAATTACAAGTAGCAAACATTTATTTCTTAATTACTTCTTTACTTGCTCACTCAAAGAATAATGCAGTGATTCAGAAATATCTAAGATGCAAAACATCCTCAGCTCCTGTTGACTTTTCTTCCTCATTTAATTTTGAGATTCTAGAAGTTGCACTGTTATGGTACTGTTTTAAACATAAAAAAAACAAATACAGTAACTTAGGAAGTCTGAAACATAGCCAAAACCATAATTCATTAGAAAATATTGCTAATACGGCAATAAAATAGATTTCATTAGAGCTTTAGTCCCATTCCTTGCAGCATGAATATAATTTGGATCTAGACAGTAAATTCCTATGGCAACCAACTAAGGATTTGGGGCTTCTTGTTCCTTGTTTATTTTCACTACTGTGCATAAATACAGAGTTATCTACCTTCCATTTCCACTACAATGCTCAAAGGACTGACCTTATGCATTTCAAATCTTTTTGTCAAGGTGGCACACTGCAAATAGGTAAGGAATTATTCTGCTTCACAACTGTCAATCTATTCTGACTCAATACCAATTTCAGCACGTCCTGCCTAAGATCACAAATAAAACATACATACTTACGGACAGTAATTTCACCCCAGAATTACATATAATTAAAAAAATTACTGGGTTAAAAGAAACAGATGTAGATCTTTTGAAAAAAAAAAAAAGGCCTACTTTTGCTTTTCTGTCAACCTAGGCGTCCATTAAAAACTTTATTTCTTTTGTTATTTTGTTGGGAAATTGTTTCACATGGCTATGGTCTTTTGTCAGTTCTGAATAGCTATCACTATCTTGTTAAAGATGCTTTAGAATACATTTTACCAAGATAAAAGCACTTCAGAGACTGGACAATATTATCTTGCCCAAACCACTATGTGAAGATTTAAGTCTTTTGTGCAGACTGTTTAATCCCTGTCACGTCACTAGCTTTCAAGACATAATGATGAATGCTTTCCTTACTTTCTATTTATTCCATATGGTGCATATTTAAAGAACAAGTTATTGATTAGCTTTACTCCATTTCTTAGACACCTTTGTTCATTTTTTATATCCTTTAGATCTGTGTTTATGTATTGGACTCCATCATTTTCCATCTCAAACATCTTAAAACATAATCAGTTTAGTATTTTTCTATTCTCAAGTCTTCCACATCCTTCTTATTTTTCCTCTAAAAAACAAATCAAAGCCCTTCCTTTTGATGGAAATTTAACCTGAATCACCCTGAAAACTTTGAAGGTCTCCTCACTGTTGACATGTTTTAAGTCCACCATTGCCCTGAACTTGTACAGTACAACTGAGCTCTCAGCAGCTGAGGTGTGCAAACGAGGGCTCTTAAACCTAAGACATGATAAGCCAGAGAGCTTCAGCTGAGCGCTGCTGAGTGCTCTTGCTCTCAGAACAAAACACCAATGAAAATAATGCGCAACAAAGAGAACCAAAGATTACTTCTCCTTTACTGTAGATGCGCATCAGCCTACACACACACACACGTATTCACAAACTGTAAGAAACTACCCAAGGTAATCTAAATTGTGACTCAAATTACTAGATGCCTCTCTCAACTCACAAATATTCATAGATTTCTTCTGAAATAGATTACCTCAATTACGTTTTAATGAAATACACACTCCAGAGAGAGATTCCTCGTTTAACTAACAGACAAGAAAACATAGCAGCTAAAAGCCCAAACTACAAGCTGAAGTTGATATTCTTGGACAAACCAACTAAGACTGCAGAACAAAATTTCCACTGAGCATTCAAATTATACGTATACCAACAAACATACAAGCAGCTGAAAAATAAAATAGTAAATTGATTTGACTATTTTGTTTAGTGAAACTTATGGAAAGAATGATTCATTAAAACAAGACAAACTCATGTGGACCATTAAGCCTCTCAGGACAGGTTCCTGTAGGCAAATCCTTATTCACCATGTACACCATTTACACACCCAGTCCACTTTTATTTACTTTATTGATTCTTTCTTGTCATCATTGGCACAACAAACTTAACTCACATTTCACCTTGCTCCTTTCATCCTTCTAAGCTGGAATTCAACTTCTCACACCTTCACTACTAAGCTTATTTCATACATGTTACGAAATATAAAATTGACTATTGGTGATCCACGGAAGCAATGTTTCTTCTAGTGATCGCATTACAGTCAAATTTAACCTGTCACTGAAAAAAGCACGTCATATTCCAGGTGTTGGGCTCCTTTTTGATTCTCTTGCTCTTTAAAATTTATTCTTAAAGGCTGTCATCTGTCTGCTTTACGCATGTGGAAAGACCTGCTGAAGCATGCACATAAGACTTCAGAGGATAAAACACGTAGGATAGACATTTTTCTCATGATTGTTACTTGTGAAGAATATAGTGCTTTGGTTGTGTAAGTTGAAACATGCCTCTCCTTTGTAACTTTGCTATAAAGGGAAGAATACGGGTATGGCTTCCTTGAGAAAGAACTATACGTATTTCTATCCATACGACTGAGAAAAAAAACAGATTAGCTAACAAAAACAAATTAACGTAGGCTTTGTTAGCCTAATCCACAACACCATTACAAGCCATAATCACTTGATCCTCTAGTCTTACTGTATATTTTCTGAGTTCATTGAAATAACTTATAAAGTTATTCCAAGTATAAAGAAATGCACTGGGCATATGGCCTAATGAAAATTATAACAAAACACAAATAGTAACTTCCATATGCCTCACTAGCATCGCTTGCTACTTAGAAAGTTACTGGCATCCTGTATCTTCAGAGGATGTGTAGAAGTCTTCTGTACAACAAAAGAGGAGGACTACATGGAAACTCAATATACATTGAGATTCCCAATGAAGTATGGATTATCACAAATAAGAAGGCAAATGATTAGTTCAGAGCATATTTCCCAATATACTTAGATTTATTTGTGACAAATACTGAACTATATAAGGCATTCTAAATTTAATTCACGAAGAGAATAAAAAAAGACTGCAAGTTCTACAAAACAATCTGTGATTGCCTCAGCATCAGACTTACACCTCTCCCAAGAGTTTTCCCTGTTCTTTCACTTGCAAAAACCTGCCATACAGACGCGCTGCCATATGCTGTGGCTTGCTCTAAGGCAGAATGATTTAGCAGTTAAAATACAACAAGCAGCAGTTCACAAATTTCTTTGACCTTGGGTAATTCAAGAACCTTACATCTTCCATAACCGTGAGGATAATACTTCCTTCTCCTATTTTAGAGATTAACACAATAAACTTTGATAAACATCTCAAACTCTAAAGGAACGAAGCCTATGAAAATACATAAAAAAAAAGAAAAACCTGCCCCAGATAAGCCTGCTCCGATTTCATTAAAAGCATATGTGCTACTTCATATAAAATGCCATGCTTTATTCTAGTTCTCAGATACCTTTCTTAGTCACAGTTTTCTTCCTTCGACTTCTGTCTGGGTAGAATTTCTCTTCTGGAAGGGCTTCAGAACACTTCAGTTCTGAAGTAAGGAACGGAAGTTTGTACCCAATATCGCTTACAGAAAGGGCAGCGTCAAGGTTAATTGCACAGATTCACATTTCAGGCTAGAACTGGATCAAGATAACTTCAGCTGGCTTAAGTTCATAAAGCATTTCATAGTTGTAATAGTTAACCT